TATGCTGAGTAATTTAACGACGAAACGTATCGTCGTTTTGCTCTTTAGGCCAGCGTTTTTCGTCATTTACTCTTAAACAGGCTTGTTGCAAACTTCACGGAGATGTTAGAAAAAATGTTTGTAAATAAAGTTTCAAACTTAAAGTTGAAGCCAAAAATAAATGCAGTTTCAAATTAAAATTATACTGAAGGCTTCTCAGATCGACAGAATGACAACCAAGACGGTATTGTAAAGCGCATTAACACTTCTGGGTAGGGTAATCAAAGCAACCCAATCGACAGAGACATGAACTTCCAGTCGCGGATTCGAATGGCGGTGGCCGAGTCACTCGCTATCATTCCGAGGAAGATAAGCGAATACTATTACGCAGAAAGGAAGCAGGAGATTGAAGCCTGTACAAGCCATTTCACTATAGGTATGATTTTAATATAGGTAGGGCAATCCTGGATGAATGACGATACCTAAACAAAACCAGAATCATACCTTATACTCGTCGGCGAAAGAAGGGTGTCATATATGGTAAAGAGAATGACAGAGCTGGCAATACCGACTAGCCAACGGTTACAAAGTCCATTTCGATTGTGATAGGTAACTTATTCAAGTACTTTACGGGTTATACGGTACCTGCGTTCACTGACAAGCAAAACTTTCAATTTCTCTACAAGTCATTGACAAAATAATCGCATTCATTGACGAAATTACGCAAAATGTTCATCACCTTGTCTGCCAACTCTTCTCTGATCAGACCGCACTTCAAGTCGAATGCTGAGTAGGTGGTCCACGCGTCGCTGCCATCCGCCAGGCGAGAACGCGATATGGTGAAATCAAAATCGGACAGCACCTTTAAAACGAATAATGAAAATTTTAAATATGGTCACTCTACGACAGTCACATGATCATGAAGAACAAATGAGGGTCAAGTTTCACTTTATGGTTAACTTTCTTAAATTTAAGTTAACACTGAAAATCTCAACTACTGTGTTACGCCATCATTACCGAGGTATTTGCAGTAGCTTAGCTGAAAACTATTTAGAATCACACTGTGCAATACAATACCTCAGTTCAGCGCACATGTTTGAAGATAGGTACAATACACACTAAATTACA